AAAAACACCCCCTCTGATTTTTCCCAAATCTTCCTAAAAAAAATGGATGGTGGGTACCAAATTTCAAAATGAAATCGAAACAGATCTGCTTCTGGTTCTTTATAGGACCCCCATGTGCAACCTGCCACGTTTCTCCCCAAAATACTCTATTCTCCAACCCTGGAAGGTTCTAACAGTTCTTGTGTGAGTGCAGAAGGACCCATTTGTGTGAGTCACAGAGAATATGAAGAAAAATACACCCTCCACTCTATGTTACCTTTACTCAAAGGGATTGTATTATTGACGAGATTTCAGATACAATTGATTTGGAGGTTTTAAGTTCCTAATAATAACTGTTCTATTTATTCAAACAAGGCCATGCAAAAAGATTAATTCAAATCACATTGTTTGCTCAGGTAAATAATTTCCAGGTACTGGGAAAGAGAAGCATTCATTCCAAAGGTCAGTGAAAAGGTGTCCACTCTCAGATCTTGATACTAATTTTGTGCTGGAGGAAAATTATATAATAAGCTGAAGCTGGTTAAAACTAAGGTAGCATGGAATATCTGGTTCCCTATTTGAAGCTCATGCAGATTCCAAATTCGATCTATTCTAGACCAGGCAGTGCGGTTCTATTTGTGTCTGTGTGTACATGAGCATATGTGTGCATTTTGACTTGTCTTAGACATCTATGTCTTGTGTTTCTTTTGGTTTGAAGATTTAATTTTAATGTGAATTGATCTCATGTATAGTAAGGTGAGGAAGGGGGAGAAATTTACATGAGCTGCTGTTTGAGGGAGGCGTGTTCTCTATATCTGGCAGTTTGAAATATGTATACTTCAAAAAACATTGGTGATTAATTGTAGAAGTGTTGATTGATTATTAAACCATGTTGTTGGTAATAAAATATTATTTAAAAGATTTGGTTGGTGAAATTGCTGTGGGGAGTGGTTAGAAAAAGTTGTGGCTATTTCATTAGCTAAGAAGCTATAGATTAACAAGGTAAAATAAAATTACAATACAAAGTGAATGGGGTTTGCTACAAATCATAGAATTTCTTCCCAGGAGAAAAGGAAGTTGTATGGCTGCTATCTGGTTAGACTTGGATAAATGAAAGGACAGGAAAATTTGCATGTATTCTAAGTTAGTCTAAGCCAGTGGTTCTCAACCTTCCTAATGCCATGACCTCTTAATACAGTTCCCCATGTTGTGGTGACCCCCAACCATAAAATTATTTTCATTCTACTTCGTAACTGTAATTTTGCTACTGTTATGAATTGTAATGTAAATATCTGATATGCAGGATGTATTGTCATTCACTGGAACAAATTTGGCACAAATACCTGATATGCCCAAATTTGAATACTGGTTGGGTTGGGGGGGGGGGTGATTTTGTCATTTGAGGATTTATAGTTGTTGGGATTTATAGTTAACCTGTAGTCAAAGAGCATTCTGAACTCCACCAATGATGGAATTGAACTAAACTTGGCAGAGAGAACTCCCATGACCAACAGAAAATACTAGGCGATTTTGGTGGGCATTGACCTTGAGTCTTGGATGTGTAGTATATCTACATCCGTAGAGCACTGTGGACTAAAACAATGATGGATCTGGACCAAACTTGGCACAAATACTCAATATGCCCAAATGTGAACGCTGGTGGAGTTTGGGGAAAATAGACTTTGACATTTGGGAGTTGTAGTTGCTGGGATTTATAGTTCACCTATAACCAAAGAGCATTCTGAATCCCACCAATGATAGAATTGGGCAAAACTTCCCACACAGAACCCCCATGACCAACAGAAAATACTGTGTTTTCTGATGGTCTTTGGTGACCCCTCTGACACCCCCTCGTAACCCCATCCCAGGGGTCCAAACCCTCAGGTTGAGAAACACTGGTCTAAGCTGTAGTACACATGAACAATACAGTATATGTTAAAATAAATCTCATTCTATGCAGCGGTTCAAGTACAATTTCTTCCCCATCTGTTGAAGAAATTGAACTTTTCTAGTGGCATCTTCTAATAACCATACTGAAAAAATGTGCTGTCTCTGAAACATAAAGCAATCTTTGCTAGAAGATGGCTAGAAATAGTTTTATATTCTTAGGTATACCCTGAAAAAACCCCAGTGCTCTTGAGTATACAGTTTGGCTAGAGAAGCTTTTTAAAAGATTTCACACTGACTGAAGCAGTTTATAGGCTGGTGGATTGTGAAGCTGGTGTTGGTTGGGATTCATTCTTTTCACATGTGCACTTGTCCCATATGTTCAATATTTATATGTGGAAATACACAGATCTCATAAAAACACTAACAAGTATCCAATAATACGAGACAAATCAGGTCTACATAACTGTGCTTCAAGTGTCCAAAAGTTCAGATAGGTAGAAAGTGCATGGTCATGGGGTTCTTTAAAAGAAAGTAGTATCTGATGATCTTTATTCTAAAAGACAAAAACAGCAGACATCTAATATTCCCAAAAAGACTAGGAAGCATCCCAAAGAGGCAAGGAAGTGGCAGTTCGATGGGAGAATTGAGGAAAATTTGCAGAAAGGATGGGTGGGGGAGTATTGGCAACATGTAAGCCACGATGAAGCTAAATCTGGAGACTTTAAAGCATGAGTTAAATTCAAAATCAAAGCTTTCTTTGTCTTTGGGTGACTTAGCCTGGGGGTCATAGCTGCTCTCCTCACCCTCCTGATTTCACACACATTTCCTTCTTTTCCTCTCTGCTTTGCAGCAAATGATAGTAGGCAAATGATAACTTGTATTTATTCGTCAAACTTAAGAGGCAATATATAAGCTGTGTTTGTTCTTCAAACTAAGATTAAGCCCTGGCTTGCAGGACAAGGTCAAACTATAATTGGGTGGCTTGCATCCAGTCAGAAAGGGAGAAAGGAGATTATTTTGTGTGAACAGAGGGGTAAGGAAACTTTGAATTTAAGGAATTGACTGAATTTATCTAAATCAGGGGCACTCCAACTTTTAAAGTGGAGGGCCGGTTCATTGTCCCTCAGACTTTTTTTTGGGGGGGGGAGATTATATTTTGAGAAAAACATGGACAAATTCCTATGCACACTGCACACTGCAGATATATTATTTGTACTGCAAAAACACGAAAGAACAATACAGTATTTAAAATGATGAACAATTTTAACCAACATAAACTTACTAGTATTTTAATGGGAATGGTGGGCCTGCTTTTGGCTGATCAGATAAGCAAGTTAATTCAGATTGTTGTTGTTGTTGTTGTTGTTGTTGTGTGACTTGAAGTTGTTTCAGACTTAGGGTAACCCTAAGTCTAAAGTTTAGACCAGGGGCTGAGTAAATTACCTTGGAGGGTCGCATCTGGCCCGTGGGCCTTAGTTTGAGAACCCCTGATCTAAATAGTAGCAAGATATATGTCATGTAAGAGCTGACCCAAAATGTACATTTTACAATCATTACAACAGTGATTGTGAAGGAGGGCTAGTCTGATCTAGAATTTCAGCTGTAAAATACATATTTGAAGTGGTAAATATGATTGAAGAGATAAGTAGCATCCTGCAGACTTTGTAAGAACTAACAAGAGAGGACACACATACATCTAAATAGTGATGCTTGTAATGCATAATGGTATCGTATGATCTATGGCTTTGTGTGGGTTAATTTTTGAGTAAAATCAGGCAGAGAAATATGTAGCCATTTTATCTTCTATTATCATAGTACAAATGGAACAAATATTGCATAAGGTAATATAATGGCAATTGACAAAGAATTGAAAACCTCTGCCATTATATGGAAAAGTCTGGATCTTTTTAGGAATGGTGTATTCCATATCTCAACAGGCTGAACACTCAATCCAGGATAGACAAACAATGTCTAACAATACCTCTAAACTTCAGATTGTTATTCCTCAGGCAGTTCATTATAGTGGTGATTCACTAATTAAGCACTTCCACTTACTCGGCACTGAATCTTACGATTTCTGTGTGGCTTTAGTGCATAGTACAGTGCAGTACCAATGCGGCCTTCTTTATCCTCACACTTCTCTGTGGTTCTGCTCCAGCACCATGGAGAAGCAATTCAGACAGCACTGCAAAATGAGGCAGGGGAAAATGTAGATTTGTGTATGATAAGAGACTTTGCCCATGCATCTTTGTGATTGGAGGTTTGCTCATGCCATTTACTACCCAGCCATGTTCACATATAGGGTTATTTCTGATATCAGGCTCATGATGAAAATTAACTATTTGAGTATCATTTTCAAGATCATTTCCTTTTACAGCTTGGATCTAGGATATTTAAGAGGCTGTATTTCCCTTTATAAGCCCACTATAGCTGTATGATCTGCAAGAGAACCCCCTTCCTCTCTCGAGATGTGCTTTTAACTGAATGAAGTGGATGTTTAATATAATATGCACTGTTTTGTGGTTTATATATAGTTTTTAAAATGAATTTTGGTGGTTAAGTTTATAAAAAGTTTTGTTGTCTTTAAAATAACAGTAATATTTATACCAATACTGATATTTTGTATAGTTATTAATGTGTATTGCTTTTAACATGTTGAAAAACTTGGGTCAGGGGAAAATTGGGATAATCATAAAATATCAATTCACTACCAAACCTTGTATAAACCTTTAAAAAGCATGGGGTGCTCAGGATATCTGGGATGGGGGAGAGCAACATGTAATACAACTTTGAAGTTCAGGCTGATGATTGGACTCTCAGTGCAGGGCTACGTTCAGATACTTCAGGCTGGAAAGTTCCCAGAAATGTGGCATTGTTTGTTACATAACAACTATGCTTTTTCTTGCTAACAAAAAATGCTAACTATTCATATGAATTCATTAATTAATGTTGTACTGAAAAGTAATGTGAGGAAAACAGCTGAAAATGCTATAGGCATGTGAAGCTGGTCCTGAAAATAGCAGAAAAATTGTGCAACACTGCAAAAAACAAACATTACAAACACAAAACTTGTTTGATGATAAGCCCAGAATTTCCAATGTATCTAATTATTTCCTTCCCTTTTTTCACAGATGTTCCAACTCCCAAACATGTTAGCAGGGTAAGTATTATATTCTTTTGCCTCTATAGCTTGGAAGGTGAAATTGTATTTCAGAGACTCTCTGTTCCTTTGAGCTAATTTCCTGGTGTGTTGTACTTCATTCACTGAATGGCTTGAGAAGAATTGCTGGTGAGCACATTAGTAATATTCAATGCAATCAAAGTACAGATGCTCCTTCACATTTGTAGGATAAGATTTTGCAGATTTGATTGTTTATGGATTTGAGTTTATGGATTTGAGTCTTTTTATCTCTAGGAATATCTAGGTCCTCTGGGGCAACTCTATGGTCAACGTTGGCTAGCAGATGACCATAGAATTGCACTGGAGGAACTAGAGATTGCTAGAGAAGTGTTTTCTCGGATTAAAAAAAAGGTCTTCTTTTAAAAAACGTTTTTCCCATTTCGTATACACCTACCCCTATGAAAGTGGATGGCCTACTATAATTGTCTATAATTGTCTAAGTGAAATACTTATTCTGTAAGAACATCTCTCCATAAGAAGAAGCTTCTTTCTTTCACAGAACAAAATTTAAGATCAAAGCCATTGAGCTCAATTTGGTTTCTCACTGGATAAAGGAAATATACAGGCATATTCTTGAGGCAATCACCTCACATTCAAAATGCTTGCATAAGAGACAATGAAGATTTTGTCTTTGTAAGAATTCAGGGATGGATAGTTCCTCAATGAAACCCAATTCCAATTGATAGTCTTGGTTACAGAACTAAGTGGAATGTCTGAAATGGCAATATGTATATAAGGGAGGGTAGGAATTCTGGTGATATTTTCTCTCACAAGGTCTTGGAGAATGAAGGAACTACAGTCTGGTCTTGCTTTGATTATTGTTATTTAAAATATGCTTATTTTTAGCTAAATCATTTACAAGGAGGAAATGGTACAGTTTTGTGTTGTTGAAGGCTTTCATGCCTAGAAACACTGGGTTGCTGTGAGTTTTCTGGGCTGTATGGCCATGTTCCAGAAGCATTCTCTCCTGATGTTTTGCCCACATCTGTGGCAGGCATCCTTAGAAGTTGTCTCTTGGAAACTAGGCACATGAGGTTTGGTTCTGGAAATGCTCCATGTTTCTAGTCAGACTCAAACTGACATTCAGTATGGAAAAATAATTGAATAAAAATATCTTAACATTCTGAAAAATCATCTCATAGATGGAAATACTTTAAATTATTAACAGTTTTAAAATGGAAATATGATTTAAATGTATCTTTAGCTAAACCATTTACCCTTAAAGCATAAATATCTGTAAATAAACAAAAAACCCTAGATTCTTAAATCTGATTAAATTTAGTGTCCTACAATAGTTTCCAAAGTGAGTTCATTTAAGTATGAACTTTTATTATGATACCATTATCACTCTGAGCTGCAGAAATGTCAATTAGAGATGTGCCTACATAATACAATGTTCCATCCTTCAAAAATGGAAAATACTTGCATGAGGTTCTCTTGGTAACACAAGTTCTTTCTTTCTAAGAATGATGTGTTCACACTTGTAATTTACAAGATGGGGAAAAAGAAATGCAGATGTTTTTCACTCCTGTCTTGCCACATTTAATCCTCTCGTCATTACTAATTTCTCCATCTCACCACAATTATTAATGAGTGGCTCTCAACTCAGTGCACACGATCTTGTGTAATTTTTATCTTGTATTTCATAGTTGATTCTGTGAACTGTCCAGAGAGTTCTACCCATTAATAAATAAATTTTATCAGGGAAAGAAATTAACATGAAATATTCTTTTGATAGATATCACTACGTAACATTATTTTTGTTCCTCAGTTATAAATGTCATTTCCTAATTGGTTCTATCATAAAAAAAATGGAAAAAGTTTATTAATCCTGCAGCACATTTTGCTATAGTTTTTCAATGAATATCTCAAATCTCAACCAATTCAACATAGTTTGTGGCAGCCACAAAAACGAAGTTTCTTGAGTATAATAGCTGCTTTCAAAGTAAATATCACCCAATTAAACAGGAAATAATACTTTCAAACCAGAGAAAGAAAATATTTCAAATTTTATTACATAGTGTAATAAATTAAAATGCATACCTCCAAATGAATGTTGCAGTTGTCATATGGCAATACAACATTATAAAATTTAGCCATTAGACAATAGTGTTTTCCCCCGGTAGTTTAATTTCTTCTATTTTATAGTGCTAAAGTTTGTATAGGGATAACAAGACTGCTTTAGGATTCCAGCGGTTACCAGTATAACTGCAATAAAGGTTAATGGTCTGTTGCTAAAGCTTTCCAACAGAACACTAACCTATGCTGGTTCATGAAGGAAGCTACAGCAATCAAATCTGCCTAGGGTTTCCATGACAAATATGCCCCTAGATACAAAAAGTAATATAAGATAAACTAAAAATCAATGTGTTTTACAGCATCTCATTTTAAAGGCATAACGCATTCAATGCATATATACCTGCTTGTTTGCATTTTGCCTCGGCTTTCAGCCAAGTTTAGAGTTTGTTACATGCAGTCTGTAGGTACAGAAATGGCAAAAGTTATGTATTCTATATTAGAAGATGTGCAGGCAGCACTTGTGACTCAGCTCTTTGTATTAATTAATAATGTATGTAGCGGCTATATGGCATGCTTATTCTGCATGCATTTCTAAATCCTACATCAGAAATTTAAAACTTCTTAGCAGCTAATTGTCTACACCAATTAGTTATATCTATGTGAGATTAGGATATGAGGGCATAGGAGAAGGTCAGTTTCTGATGGATTCTCAGAGACAGAGGCAACTTTCCATTCTATGATCTTCATAGAAGTGGGTCCATTCTTTAAGCTTTTCTATATATTTTTATTCCAGGATATTATGGATGTTGCAAACATTTGAGTAGGGTTTAGGCAGACTTCTTAGGCCCTCTGACATATGACGATCTCTCTGGTAAGCAAACAGCAAACCTTCCTGGGTCTTCCCCAGGTCTCCTCCATTCAGGGGTTTCTGGATGAGCCCCAAAGAAACTTGTAGGGATAACACTATGTGGTGGACCTTTGATTCAAAAAGGAAGAATATTTGACTATCTAGGAAAAGTAAAAGATTAAATTATAATATTTTTCTTCTGAATAAGCACAAATGATATCAACATGGTCAGGGATCAGTTTAGTGTTTTGTCTTTCCCCTTTCTCCAGGAGCCGTTAAATGAAATCAGCATATTTATGTTATTTTAAAACATGTCACTTCAAAAATACTAGCTGTCATTTTTTCCTGCTGTGAAGTGTTTTATTCACTCATAATCTTCATTAATTTAGAACTTGGGTTTATCCCTAACAATTTAATCATAATTTTGAACTGAAAATATCATTTTTGTCATATTGTAATAAATTGCAAAGAAATTATTGGGGCTTCAAGTACAGTAAATTATCTTAAAAATTGAAGTGTAATTTAAAAATCCAGATTACAATAATAATACAATTTATTTAAGTATTAGTTTGAGAAAGTAGTTTTAAACTTTACATTCACAAAGATTTCTATTTTGTATTGCTTTCTTTTGGACACTTCAGGTACTTATCTAGGATAATTTTGATTTTATCTTTCTTAGTTGTCATCAGAAGTTAAATTGCAGTTAATGCAAATATACAGTGTTAAAATCTTTTTAAAAGATACTTGCCAATCCACAATCTAAAATTTGCATGGAAATCCTGCAATCTAAAAGCTCTAAATAAATAAATAAATAAATAAATAAAAATGAATATGCTAGTTCTTCAGAAAACATCTCAACATGCATATAGTTGCTTCGATAAAACATATTAATGGAAGTGTTTTGATAAGTATGAATAAAACCAAAGCCAAAATCTTTAAAAAATGACAATTTGTAGTGTGGTTTTTGAAATCTCCTTGTATTTTTGCAGCATTTAGAGAACAGTTGTTAGATTAAGTGACATAAATGGGAAAATGTGCTCAGGACTTATTTCTGCGTAGATACGTATTGGGAATTGTTAATGATGGAGTCATGCTCCATTAGCTGCTAGCATCTGAGCCTTTTCTTTCAATCAATGTAGGTAAGGATTATAGAGGACTATTGCTGGAACAGGTCTGTACATTTAGTTCTTAATTACTTCCATGGCTTTCCAGTATGCCATTGATCTCTTCAGCCATAACAGAGTCACATATCTTGGAGAACGTTGTAGATGACTCAGTCTTTGAATAACAAGACAGAGTAACTGTTCAAAGTGAAATTGATTGATAGGAGGAAACATCGGTTATAAAAATAAACATAAAATAAAATGTTAAGAAATTATCTAAAGTGTGTGTGGGTATGTGTGTGAAAATGCAGACACCACCTCTGATTATAAGGAATTTACAAGTTCCTGTTTCTTGTTTATTTTGGTTTTTGTTCGTGTAGAAAATAACCCCTCCCTCCAAGTGGAACTGCATGTCTCCACCACCATACATCAAATTTTTGAAAAGGCCCATCTAGTTTATCATTGTGTACCCTGTCAGATATCAACTCTCTGAGGTTTCAGAGGAAATTATGACATGCAAAACAGTCTAAATATTTAATAATGACTTGATTTCTTCTAACAGTTCATTGAAAGCAAAATGTGAGTTATGCTGCACTCCTATACCTCTCACTGGGAGTAAACACTGTTTCAATATGTGCTTTTGTTTGTTTTCAATAGTACCAGAATACTGATATGCAAAGTGTGGTATATGAACTGAACAGCTATATAGAGCAACGGTTGGATATAGGAGGGAACAATCAACTGCTATTATATGAATTGAGTGGTGTCATTCGAATGGGTAAGAAAACGTTTTGGGTATATTTAAATTAAGTTATGTACCGCTATTTGTAAAACTATTGTATGCATTATTGTCAAGGAAGATCTTATCCCAGAACAGAATAAGTTCCAGAACATCCCTATACTATAAGGATGTACTGGAAGTCAGGAATCTGCTTATAAGTAAATTCAAGATATGATAGAAACTAGTATTATGGCATGTTACTCAGAAAGCAGTATTGCAGACCACTCCTGGATTAGACCGTTCTGTAAAAGTAGGGAAATTGCTTTTGAAGTGAAGTAAGCATCTCTCATTTTTCCCCACTAAAAACTGAAATATATAATTATACTTTAATATCATATTCTGGTATGACAGAGACTGTTTCAATTGCTATAACTGAGAGTGGACAGGTATACATTAAAACTTTACTTGCATATCACACCATCAACTGATTTTTATAGTAGCTGTGGCCAAAATCCTGCATCGAAAGACTGATTGAAAAGTTCCTCCCTCCAGGCAGAACTGCATGTTTCTGTTCCTTCTTCCTTAGGATTTATCTTCTTCCTGCCCCCACCCCATGTCCCCACTGGTCATTTTGTGGTAGATGTAGGGCCCCGAGTGTTGGAGAAGAATCCATCTTTATCTCAATAGCCAGATGCACAATAGTATGTCTTAAAGTATGCATGGCAGGGTGTTTGACTACATGGTCCACGTGGTCTCTTCCAACTATGATTCTAGGCCTTGGTCATACTGAATCTGACTATAAGTGTCTAGCAAAATCTTTTTCTAACAGCTCAAACACTTGCTATAAAAAGGCTCTGCAGGAGATTTCTGCAGGAAAATATCTGGCAGCCCATCTTTCTCATTCTTCCATTTTAGACTCTTTCCAATTTAATGGTGGCTGTTTTGTACTTTTGTTAAGGTGTTTGGACAGCAACTTGTTTGATATTTGCTTATTGAGTGGTGCATTAAATCTGACCTCACATTTGATTATTGGTTATAATACGCACCAAAGCAACAGAAGCATTCACAGATTTGCTCTTAAAATTTGCACCATGCCTGTCAATATTCATATAACTTGCTCTATAATATGTAACTCCTTTGTTTATATCGCACAAAGTAACCTACCATTCTTAAGCTTCTTTATAACATTTTCCCATCCAGAGCTGTTATTAGCTGGAGTCTGTTTATGGACAAGGCTTGTAGAAAGCTCTGACAATTTTGAATCATTCTGAGGACAAAAGTAACTCTCATTATATAAAACCAGACTCCTCAAAGTTTGTCCTGTATTCAGACAGCCATTATGCAATGGCTTAAGTGATGGCTTTTTATGTCTTACTGCATCAATTTCAGTTATTGCAGCTTGAGGATGAGGATAGAATATTTGTTAATTGTCATGAGTCACTGTACATAGATAATAAAAGTAATAATAGTAGTAGTAGTAGTAACGGCAACAACATCAATACCATCTGCATGTGTTATTCAGCCTTGCCCTCCTTGGTTCCAAATGTAGAAGACATGAGTTGAAGGAATGATACATATTTGGTTAAGGGAAGATGTCATGCATTGAATGAGACAATGGAGTTTATTTTTTAAGAGGCCGCCCTTAGATCTTGAGATGTTATACAAATCCAGTCCAATTGCAAATCTTCCATTCTGTTGAGGTAATTGAGAAGGGAATGTTAAATCAGATGTATACATTTCAGGATGAAACAAAATTATCTACAGCCATTTCCAAGTGACTTTATTCAGTTTGGCTTTAATCCATCACAGAAAAGCCTTTATTGTCGTGGTTTATGATCTTCCATAGGAGACTGTGATAATAGTGCTGTTGATTCACTTCATGGCTTTGATGTTATTCTATTGACTGTTGGTAGGAGTTGCAGCAGATCATAGAATCATAGAATTAA